ATTTTAAGCATTTAAGCATTTAACTACAGGTGGCATTAAGTGCATTCACAATGTTATGCAACCATCCCTACCATCTGTCTCCAGAACTTTCTCATTTTCCCAAACAGGAACCCCTTAAACAAAAACTCCCCCTTCACCCAACCCCTGGGAGTGTCTATTCTTCTGTCTGCCTTGTACAGAGAACACATGAAGCCATGATTTCCTTGTCCCTAGCCTTGTCCCAAGTGGATGTACGGGGGACTGGGGGAAATGGAGGTGGAGGAGAGTCTCGGAAGCCCTGTGGAGGACCGGAGGGACTGCGAGGAGGGCTGGGGCTAGGAGGCCTGGGGGGTCTGGGAAGGGCTGAAAGAGCTGGGAGGAGTTTTGAGGAACTGAGTGATGACAGGATGGATGGGAAGGGGTGTAGCCAGGGCTAGGCATCTTGATAAATCACAGCCCTTCCAAAAACAGAGCCCTCTGGTCCTGGCTCCCTGACCACCCGCTGCAGCAGGCTCCATGCTCTGGCTGGGTCTGTGTGGCGATAGCTGCTGGGACCCTCCCCTGGCTGCCAGGTTGGGCCCTGCCCCCACCCTATAATCCATATGCTCCCATCCTGCTTGGGGTAGGAAATGGAAGTGGGCCTGGGGGACCTCGCCTTTCCTCCTCACTGGGTCCAGGGGTGGTTGGCGGTGGCATTAAACCTTGTCTGTGTCTTACTCATTTCTGGCAAACCAAGGGCCTCAGTGTAACGGCCCTTTTGAGGGGTGCGAAGTAATCCGCTCATGGTCCCAGGGGAGGAACTAGAAAATGAGTCTCCAACCAGTCTAGACCAAAGGGGAGGATCAGCAGGGAGTGTGGGAAATGGGAGGAAGTTGGTGGGACTGGGGGCTGAAGGTATTAAAAGACTGAGTGTCTGGGAGGGTTAGGAAGGGACTAGGGGAGCTAGATGAAATAGAACTGGGGATGATTTGGTAATCTGAGTTGCCAGAGAGAGACTGGGAATGGAAGGAACCTAGGAGCAGCTGAGATTCCAGACAGGGTGGAATAAGAGAAATGTTGTGGAGGTGAGTGGGGGACATGGAAGGGAAGAGGTAAATCGGAGAATCTGGAAAAGGCCAGGAGAGCTGGGGATGGGGGGCAGTCATTGGAAGGATGTTAGGGTCTGGAGTAGGCCTGGAGGATCTGGCAGTGACATTCAGGTGCTGGGAGGGGCCAGAAGGCTCTGGGAAGAAAAGGGAAGTGATGTGAAGAGGTGGGGTGAGGCATGGTGGGAGGGGGATGGCAACAGAGGGCTTAGGAGAAAGTGGGAACTACAGGGCGACAGGGGCGGGACTGAGAGAGGCACTCCTTCATCCAGAGGTAAAAATTGCCCACTGTGATTAATAGATTTCTCAGCTTCTCCTTGTGGTTCTACCGGTTTCTGCGTTCCCTACTTCAGTGCTGTTAAGTGCACGCCTAACTCCAGTCCCCACCACAGCTCTGACCCCGTTAAAATCCACCTTCTATGTGGCAGTAAAGCAACTCATGTCCTCTCCTTGCTTGAAACCTTGCAGAGCTCCCTTACCTGCACCATTGCCCTCAAGGCAACCCTAGCCTGGCCCCGCACCAACTTGTCCCACCACCCCAACTCCTGGCCCGGTTCCCTCTCTGTCCTCAAGCCTCTGCCCACCTCTGTGCTACTCTCCAGCCTCAATATCCTGTCTTCTTTAACGCTCCAGATTGAGTCCACGCTTGGGCTTTTTTGCTCCTGCTGCTTCTGCCTGGAATGTTTCCTCCACGGGTCTTAGCTACCTTCTTACTTTTCAGGTCTCGACACAAATTTCACCTTCTTTGAACAGGCTTTCTCAGACCAACCCCCTGGCTAAAGCAGCCCCCAGCTCACTACGGTCTCTGTGAACCATCATGGCCTGAGTTCATCTTCATCAACCAGCACCTGCCGTCACGTGACTGTGCCATTTGTGTGCATATTGACTGCCGCCCCTAGAGTATAAGCCTCCTCAGGTCAGGCTGTTCACTGCTGTAACCCCCGAACCTGGAGCCGTGCCTAGCCAATGGTGAGGGGTCGATAAATGGCTGTTGATTGACTACTGATTGACTCATTCATACTCATATTCATAGCAGCATTATTCACAACAGCCATGAGGTAGAAGCAACCCAAGTGTCCATGGACAGAGAGTGGATAAACAAAGTGTGGAACATACATACAACAAATGGAATATCATTCAATCTTAAAAAGGAAGGAAATTCTGACATATGCTATAACATGGATGAACCTTGAGGACATTATGCTAAGTGAAATAAACCAGTCAAAAGACAAATATTGTATGATTCCACTCATATAAGGTACTTAAGAGTAGTCAAATTCACAGACAGAAAATAGAACGATGGTGTCCAGGGTAGTTTCTAGAGGGGGTGGGGACATGGGGAGTTACTGCTTAATGGGTTACAGTTTCAGTTTTGCAAGAGGAAAGAGTTCTGGAGATGGATGATGGTGATGGTTGCACAACAATATGAATATCCTTAACCCTTAACTCTACTGAAGTGTACACTGAGAAATGGTTAAGGTGATAAATTTTATGTTATGTGTTTTGTACCACAATAAAAAAAATGATGGACATGTTCATGACTGCTGAATCTCATTAATGGATTGTCCATTTTACTAGTATGAAATATCCATCTTACTCTTAATGCCTTTGGTCCCTAGTTTTAGTTTGTCTGACATCACTATTGCCACACCAACTTTCCTCTTTCTTTTGTACTTGCCTGGGAGGGATATTTTTGTCCATCCTTCATATGTCAATATTTCCATATTCTAGTTGTTTCTTAGGTGTGTCTCTAACAATACAACATGATTGGATTTTATCCATTTTGAAAGGCTTAGTTTTCTTAATAGATAAAGTTAAGCAATTTAAATGTACTGTGATGGATATATTTAGACTTAGTTTGATATCTTATTTTGTATTTTCTATTTATCATGCTTTTTTCCTTTTTTTTCTTATTTTAGTTTTTATTTCAATTGGTTATATGTGCATATACTATAAATAATGAGATAGTTTCATCTGAGGTTTGTTTAGGAAAATATCTGTATGTTGTTCCTTTCTTTCTGTTTCTTCTTCCCCACAGGCAATCACTTTCTTACTTCCTTTGTAACTGATTTTTAAAATATTTACTCCTGTATTTCTAAATGACACGCCTGTGGTACTGCTTCTTGACTATTAAACTATCTTGCAACTTAAGCCCGCCTTCCATGTTTTGCTCTGCCATGCAATGGAACATCATTCTGCCATAAAAAGGAATGAAGGACCACAATGTATGTTGCATGGATGAATCTTGAAGACATGCCAATGGAAGAAGCCAGTCACATAAGACCATGTGTTATGTGATTCCATGTCTATGAAATGTCCAGAATGGGCAAATCCATAAAAACAGGAAGTAGATTAGTGGCGGAACTGGGGACTGACTACTAATGGGGACAGGATTTCTGCTTGGAGCAATGAAAATGTTCTGAAATTAGATAGTGGGGATGGTTGTACACTCTGGTGGATGTATTTAAAACTACTGACTTTACAAACATGGAATTTACTTGATGGATGTAAACTATATCTCAGTAAACAAGCAATCTGCACCTCTGTGACCATGAGGAAGACAACAGCCTTAGTGTCCTAGC